TCTTTTTTATTAAAATTAAATGTCGAATAATTAATATATTAAAAGTTAACATTAGAATAAATGGTATTATATTATATAATGCTAAATTAATATAACTCCATGATGGATAAAGAGGAAAATAAAGTGAACCACCAGCTACTTTTGTTCCATTATTATAAGAATGACATGCAAATATAGGTAAATGTAAATTAATAAGTGCTATTATAATAAATGTAAAAATGATCAGAAATATAACACGACGATGTTGATTATTTGTTCGACTTTGTCGAATTTGGTGTAATGCACAAAAACGATCAACACACATCCAAACACGTAACCAAGCTGATGATTGATTTAAAAAATGGTTAACATATGTTGATAGTTTACATGATAAAACTGTTAATCGATCAATTTCAAAGCCAAATTTTAAGCGAAAAAAATGATCTAAATTCCAACCATAAAGTATAAATATATCAATCAATGCTAAAACACGCATAAAACGTATAGTCGGTCGTTGACGAAACACTTTTTGATAGAGAATTATTAATGTCAAACTGTTCAATATTGTTGTCATACATGTTAACCATAAAGGATAGTAAGTAAACAATATTGTGCCTACGGATGAACGACGTGTTGCCATTGTTTAATAGAGTTAAATAATTTGTTCAGATAGACTCGAGTGTTCTCATCGTATTTATTTCTACATAGCACATCAATTATGCAAAATTTAATTATTAATAATGCGGAGGTAGAGAGTGTTTTTAGTTCGATCACGTACACGAGAAGAAGTTCAAAGTTGACATATAGCATTTACAGTAAATATTAGATGCCAAAGTTTAAAGTATACTGAAGACAGATAAAGTTTTTGATTATATATATATATATGTTTTCACGATTCATCTTTTAAACGAACAGATTCATGTAATATTTCATAGAAAAATTTCTTTATTGTTTTTTAAGTAATAAATACAACAAAATTATGAAAATCAATATGATAAAATCAGCATATTTTTCTGAATTCTGAATTTTTTTTTGTAGCTTTGATGAAAACTAAATAAGTCAAATCAAATCGATTTTATTGTTTCATGAATAGTATTTTCAATTAACAATTATTCAAAGTAATCACATATATCAACAACTAACATAGATAATTATCACACCTACTTCGAAGATAGAATTTCTTGTCGTGCCGTTATGCTCTGTAATTAATATTGTTCTCATTGCTATTTGAATAATAATTAGTAAGCGTTCTATCTCAGATTTGCTTTTCTAAGAAACAGGAAAAACTCATCTTACAATTTCTACAGTACTGATCATATGGAATGCTTTGTTTTTCCTGTAAATGTTCATCAATCATTCTTATGCTAATTTTGTCACAAACTGTTTCTTTGATTTAAAATATTCATGTTTTTCAATATATTATTTTATATTTTGATTTTTATAATTTCTATAACCAAAATAAAAAAAAAATTGAATTAAAAACATGATTGATTTAATTTATTTTTAAAATGTAGAAAATATAATCTATATGAAAGTAAATCTGACACGATATTATATTACTAACTTTCTTTAATCGATGATAGACTTTCTAAAAAACTTTCTCGTTTCTTTTTATCACCATCTAATAAACAAAACAGATTTCGTTCATAATTGATAAAATGTGTTCGATTACGTTGAGCAAATTTAATAAATAGATTATTATTTGATGAAGGCGACATCACTACATTTGTTGTTAGAAATTGTAATACATTTGATTTATCTTCATGAAAATTTGTAGTTTGTTCTTGATGATTGAGATGATATTGACGAGAAAATTCTACTAAATTAACATTTTTATCATATCCATAATAGAAAATATCATTTGGTATATCAATTAATGGTCGACTATTATTTGCCTAGAATTAAAAATCAATATTATGTTGAAATCTTAATATCAATTATATCTTACCTGTCGTTTAAGAACCCAATATGTATGAATACTTTCAAGAATATCTGGAAGAATTAATGTTTGTTTTTTAATACTTTCTAAATCGATATACGATGTAAATTGTTCAAATCTAAATAAATAATATTATGAATTTAATATACTAACGTAAGAATAATAAATAAAATACCGTTTTTGTTCATTTTCTAGAAATTTATTTCTTCGTGCTCGTTTTTCTGATAAATCAAGTTTTTCTGTATGTCGATGACAAAGTGCCTAATAAATAAAATAATCGAAAATATTGTTAAAATAATAAATTGAAAAGAATTTTCATACAATCAATCGAACTATAACTTTATCATCACTTTCAGCTATAAGCATATCTTGACCAGCATCTATTGCACATAATGAATGAAATCGATTTTGACAATTTTTCCAACAACAATTTATTTTCACACCAGTCGTTTTATTACATATTAAACAACGTCCATCATATTTCTATTTAAATGAACAATTCTAATATTTAAATATTAAATTCTAAAACTATTTCATACGAGTGTATCATTTAAAATTGGTGTCATTTTTTCATCAAATTTAACTGTAGGAAGCCAGAATGCACATGAAAGATGAACCCATTGTTGTTCATCTCTGAAATGAAAAATTTCATTTTTTTTTTCTAATATGAATATAAGAAAACTTTACGAAGGTGTTTTTAAAGTTTTTAATGCTCCTCCACTTTTATCACATAAACAACATAGATGTTGATCATTGATACATTGACATGAAAGACACAGCCATTCATTTTCATCATCATCAAGTCCATAACATTTCTAAAAATATAAATAGATTTAAAATACTTCCAAGTCATTATTTTAACCTTATGAACAATTATTTTACATTGAACACATTGAATAAGATCATCAACATCATCAATCTGAATAAAAAACATTTCAAATTTGAATTTTAATGAAAAATAAAAACAATAATTACACGATGACAGGCATCACATTCAATTGTATCTTCATAGTTTTTCTGTCGAATAGCCAATAAGCATTGATGTTCAAGTAATTGCATAATATATTCAAATATATTTTCATCAAGTTCAGGCAACTCTATTCAAAGTTAAAATATTAAATTAGTGTCATAATTTGGTTTTGACAACCAGGATGTTTAACATGACCAGGTTCTGTCTGATGGATAGACTCAGTATGTCTAATATCTTATCTCTTTGATCATGTCATTCATTATATATTGCATAGTCCAGAACGTATCAACAGATATGTCGCAAAATTGTCCACAAAGACCGTATTAAATGTTTTATTACAAAATATAACAATGAATAACTCCATGAAAAATATTAAATACGAGTTTTTTGTTACTTTTGTTATTCTGTATGAAACGATTCAATAATCTAATTATCCGCTTTCTAGCTCTTAAACAGTTCTACTCTCTGTTTTTTATTACAAACAAATCTCTCTTTTCTGCACTTTTGTTTTGCTCAAATTATTTCTTTTGAACTCAAAGCTTCATACTTTTGAGTCGATATTTTGCCCATAAGTCGACCTAGCCGAGTTATGAAAAGTCTCCATAGGGTTAGAGTTCATTTGCGTTTTTGGTCGAGTTTTGAACTGTTCAAGTATTTTCCGTACACATGAAAGGATATTAAATCTTTTTGAGGGTGAACTTAATAATGATTAGATTATATCAAACTTTCTAACGCTGCAATCATAAGAAGTTCTCATATGATAAAAGTCAAAATTATAAGAAAAAAATCTGTCATTAGGTTCACCCTCAAAAAGATGCGACCGTCTAGGATCGTTTTTTTTTTGTCACTATTTTTCACATAATCTTGCATCGTCATATTTTGCAATAAAACATTCAGTACAATTTTTCTAAAGAACTCCATGGTGCATCTTTTCGTATAAATACAGAAGGCAAATTACTGAGTTTATCCATGTATATAAATTCATATGACACAATATCCATTTCTTTTGTACTACTCAATATCTTGGATCTATCATTCTTGGTTCATTTAAAAAAGAAAAGAATCTAAATATTCTTAATCATACAGTCTTACTTTTTTCAATACGAAATTGATTGTATGCTATAAGCCATTGAAAATCTTGTTCATCAAGATCATATTCTTCGTATTGATTTTCATTATTATCAATAATAAAACTATAGAAAATAAAATGAAGTGCATTGAAAAGAATAGTTAAACTATTATTTTCATTGAAATTACTTTGTTGAGCGATTTTTAATTGTATTATTTATTGATGGTACTAATTGATATTTGATATTAGATATATTTTTATCCTTAATATGTCTAAGATCATCATTAAAACTCCAATCACGATTTCGAATACCAGTTATCATAATTGATGAATTATTATCTTCATTCGTTGATATTACTGATGGTCGACTGATCTAAAATAATAATCAATTAAACATTATCAATCATATATAAATGATGAGCTGAAAGTTTCTAGACAAAATATTTGACTTTTTTTCGTATTTTTAAATGCATTAGAAAAGAGTAAGATGTTAAATACAGCTAAAAAATGGCAGAGTTGTGATGGATAGGGATTTTTTTTTCGTTGAAAAGACGAAAATAACCATTTTTCTTACGATAAATAAAATAAATCTTGATTCTCTTCCAATGCATTTAAATACGAGAAAATTAGTCAAATATTTTGTCTAGCAACATTCACTCCTCTCCTTAATTAGCAAATTCTCTTGTTTTTTTTTAATTAACCTCATTAAACTTATGTTCAAGATTATTGCCACTAAGATGATCATCATCATCATTACAGCCATCATCTATTTCCTTTCGACGACCAAATCGAATAGTAAAAAAACGAGGCAAAGGTTCAATAACATTAAAATTCGATTGCAAACCACTCGAGAGCATATTTCTAAAAAAAAGAAAATAAAAACGATTTAAAACATTGGAAGAAGAAATCATATTATTCTTTGCATGTCAATTTTTTCTTTTTTTTTTTCTACTTGCCACAAATATAATGAATTATTTAACCTTGCAAACAAAACTCTGTCTCTCTTTAGTTTTTTATTTAGAAAAGAAAAAAGAAATTCAACAATGTCAATGTACGATGAAGAATATCGTTTAATATCTGAACAACGAAAACATCATACATCACCATCATTGGAAATTCCTGAATCATCCGAAATTTTACGACAACAAAAAAAACATCAATTATTAACAAGAAAACAAATAAACTCATCAAAACTAAATAAAGATGAAATTAAATATCAACGATTTGTTCATGGCCTTCAAAAAGAGATGTAAATTCAAACAGATTCTTCTGTCTTTTTTTTTTGTTTTGTTGATAATAACTTTCTAGAAAAGTTTACATAAATCAATCATTACGTGAAAGTCGTTTCAATACACGAGTTAATCAATGTTCAGAAATAAATCCATCCTTTCCAGTAAATATTTTAAATAAACATTATTAATCAATAATTTTTTCTAATACTTTCTAGACTATACGAGATACATTCAAATCAAAACGTTTAGGTTCAACAGTCAGTTCTCAGAGAATAAATGAAACTGAGACAATTATCAGGTCAACATAGAGCTATACTTGTTTAATTATTATCTAGTTTTTTTTTCTTTTTCTTCTTCAAGTTCTATTAGCAATCGACATGATCCCATGTCAATACTAAAACATAACGAAACAAAACGTCTTACAGCTGATGTTCAAACAATTCTTGTACATAAAACATAGAATTTCAATATATAAAAGAAATTCTTACTCAATTTCCTTATTTCATTAGACTGGACCAGCAATGAAAAGCTTCTATCTCCAATTTATTCGACCTCCACGACAACAACACCATCAACGAAATCCATACGAAACAACACTGTTATATGCATCTGAACAATAATAAACAAATGAACTAATTCGAATAAAATGTTTATTATTTGTTTCCATTAGTTTTTTTCTTTTTTTTTTATTGTTGTATTTTCTCTCATCGTTTACACATACACACACATGTTCTCTTTACCAGACAGATATGAGGAAAAGACGACAAAGAAGCGAAAAAAAAAACAAAATGATCTAATAAGAGATGAACAAGAAATAACAAAAGTCTTTGATTCGTTTTTTTTTCCTTCTTCTTCTAAGTATGTACACGAGGCACAAAAAAAAAGAAACACAAACAAAGAAAACAAAACACCACCCGAGAAAGAGAACAGACAGATTTAATGATCAACAAAAATCAAGTCAAGCAAAAGAGACTTCATTGTTTTACTCATTAAGTCAGCGAGAGAATAAATAATCGACAGAAGAAAACAAAAATGTTTAACTAATCTTTATCAGTTCGACAACAACACAAAAAACTTGTACAAGCATATATATATATATATATATATATACCACATAAATGCTAATCTATTATTCGATATTGCCATGCTCATATACATAGAACAATAACACGAACAAAAAAAGAAAACAAAAAAAAAGAAATGCTAGCATTTAGACAATATCTGACACACAAAGACAAAAGACTTCCTAATATGTCGGAAAAACAAAAAGACATACATGCTCATATGAAGGGATCTTGAAAAAAGAAACAATCTGACAAGTGGAAAAAAAAAACAAGGACATGAGGCTTTGAGCAACAAACACGGACACACAAAAAAAACCGGTAGCTAAGTTTGTATATAAACTTTTTCCTTTTCATTATTTTTATGCACCTGAGTTAAGATAAGGAAAAACAAACACATGCAAAAAAACGGAAGAGAAGTTAAACCCTGAGAAATAAACATACACTAAGTACTTGACAGAAAAACATATATCTCATCATTGAGATAAACATGAGATTATTAGATTTATATATATATATGGAGAGAGAGAGAGGGAAAGATAAATATCAAAGTTTATCCCAAGCAACAGGTGATGGTGGAAGTTCATGAGCTTGTGCGACTTGTGATCTAAACATATTCAAAAACAAATTTTTTTTTAATTTTTATTTCTTTATAAATTAATTACGTAGCAAATGTTTTATATAATGGTGAATCATGATTAAGCCTAAGAGGTACAGTATTAGCTTGACTAAATTCCGTCAATAATTTATGCATGTATTCTAAAAATATAAAAATAAAATTTATTTTTGAAATAGAACATTTCTATAGTACCTTTTGCTTGTCGCATACTACAAAAATTTTCATCTGAATCATCATATCGAAAACCACGTAAAGGTTCAAGATTAACTGTATATTGTCGTCCATTTGGTGTTGAAAAACAACAACGACACATACATGAATGATAACGAATACGTCCTTCATGAATATAATTATTTTCTAGAAAAATCATATACACATGAATAGTATTATTCTTTTCTTTTTCTTGACTATGTAAATAAAATTTATACCAAGTGCTTGATGTATTGTTATTCTTTTTCTTGGATCCCATGTTAACATACGTAATAAAAGTTGTACAGCTTCATGAGTTACATTTTTTGATAAAGAATAAAGCATATTAACTTTAGCAGCACGCCAAGTTTTTGATAATATATATGATTTAGCACCATCACATGCTGTAGATATTTCATCTAATGGTGGACTACCAAGTAAATTAATTATTAAATCAAGCTAGAAAAAAGCAAAAAGTATATATGAGAAAATTTTCTTTGAAAAATAAAAAGAAAATTTAATTTACTTGTTTAAGTGGTGATGATGCTTGAAATAGAATTCTTCGTCCAAGTAATTCAGCAAATATACAACCAACACTCCATACATCAATGGCATACGAATAATGATGAGCACCAAGTAATAATTCAGGTGCACGATAATATTGTGTAACAACTTCTTGTGTCATACATTTCGTTTTATCAAGTTCTTCGGTGCGGGCTAAACCAAAATCACAAATCTAAAGAAACAATAATTATGTTTAATAGAAATTCATTTTCTTTTTAATAATTTACCTTTAATAAACAATCGCTATTGACTAAAAGATTTCCAGGTTTTAAATCTCGATGAATAACTCCAGCTGAATGAAGAAATTTAAGTCCTAAAATAAAATTTTTTATATTAAATTAAATATAATCTTTATTGATTACCTCGAAGTATTTGATAGAGAAAAACTTTACAATGATCAATTGATAAAGGTTGTTGTGAAACAATAATTTTGTGTAAATCAATTTGCATTAATTCCGTTAAAATATACCTAAATAAAATATAGTTTTGTTTTTCGAATTCTTTAATTTAATTATTTACACTTCATTGAATAAATCTACTTGACTAGGTGGTTGAAGAATATCAACAGCTTGTAAAATCTTTAACAGAGAACAAATAATTCGTTTTAAACAAAAAAAAAAAGTATTTTATTTATTTTTTTTCAATAAAATTACATTATCATGTCGAAATGTGCATAGCATTTTTATTTCACGGAACGCTCGTCGAGCAGCAACAACTGATTGAAAAACATTAGGCATCTTTTTTAAGGCAACTCGTCGACTCGTTCGTGGGTCAGTAACCGCCCTAAACAATTTATAAATAATACATTTGTTTTTCTTTTTTTCTAATTAAATAAACATACCATATAACACCAAATGCACCATAACCAATAAGAAAATCTAAAATGCATAAATTATTAAATAATAAATAGATTGAAAATAAATTATTCACCGCCAGGTTCATTTTCATTTGTTGATGAAGCAAGTGTCGCGGAAGAATTTGATGAGGATGTACTTGATGATGAATAAGATGGTATACCTGAGTTATTTGTATAATATGAATGATGTATAGATTGTTGTTGTTGCTGCTGCTGTTGTTGTTGTTTACTTGTTGTTCCACCATTAGTTTTAGCCGTGCTACGCGACATTGCAATCTAAAATAAAAAAAAGATAAAAACCAAAAATTAATTATTTGCTTTTAGTTAGTTTTTTTTTTTGTTTCTATAACAAACCATTTTAAAGATTTTTATTTTGTTTGTTTTTAATCAATTAAAATGTTGGCGATAAATATCTGACCAAGATTGATTTAACTCCGCACGACATATCTGCCAATGTCGCTGTTGTAGTTATTCTATGAGAGACGAAGAAGAAAGCAAATAGAAAAATATTAGAGAAAGAAAGAGAGAAAGAAAGAAAAAAAAAGAAACGAAAGAGAAAAAAAAAACCTTAACGATGAAAACTGCCAGTCAAGCAATCAACATCAATACAACAAGAAAAAAAAATCATATGGACTAATAAGACGGACGGACAAAGTACATGAACGACCGCTTGTTCGTTCGCTCGGACGCAAGAACAACAAAAAAAAACCCTACCGTTTACATGCTTAAAGCTATGTTGAACCAATGATTTAATAGACTCATAAAAGGAAATTGAACAAATAATTATTTTATATTTATATATAAATAGTTTTAGGAATAATTTATTTCATATTTTATATTGTCATGATGGTCAATAGTAAAGAATATGTTTTTTTAAATATAACAACTAGCGACATAGGTTCATACTTTTTACAAAATTGTACTGTCAAATTCATTGAACGAGATATAAAAAAAAATCGATTTTGAGTGGCTGATTCTTTTTCTAGGTGTCATACAGTTAAGAATAACAAAATATTACGGATATGGCTCATTCTTTTTTTTTTTCAAACAAAGTGCATAATATCATAAATCAGCTCATGATTAGAGTTTATCATTAAAATAAACCACATGTTTTATTGAATAAATTTATAATGAGATTTTCTTTATAACGTATGATGTCTCAGAAATCAAGTCAATATTATGTAGATAGTCGATTGATTTTTCTTACTAAATTTATGAATTAAAAAAAGTGCATCAATGAACATTGATATAAAAGCATAATCAAGTTTGAACTTCGAAATTACTTTATCAATAATTAAATAGTGAATATTTAGATCATATCTCATCCTATAGGACTTCATATTCATTGAAAATCTCATAAAAGAAGTATAATTTATTAACACACTTCTCAATTTGCTTAACTGTCTCCCGAATAGAAGAAAAAAATTTTCTCACTTGTTGTATGTCTCGGTCGAATAAGCGTGAACAAAATGCACATATCAAAACGAATTGTATTATTCTTAATAAAAAAAAAATTACTTTACATAAAAGATGTTTGCCCCATGAAATGAGACGATCTTCAAATTTTTTCTGTTCCATTCGATCGCATGTAACGTCTTTCAAAGTGTTGTATCTCATGAGACTAACTCAATAGGGTTATTCTATTTCGCGTGGAACCTTAATTGACATCCTTGGAATTACTTCGATCTAATAAATAAATGAAAGAACTGAAAATTCTGCGTTTGTTCTAAGACACTACTAAAATTGTTATTTTATTAAATTTATTACATAAAAATAAATATAGAATATAACAAAAGATTTATGATATTGAAAGGAACATATGACTATGATTACAACGCACATTTTATTTTTTCTTGATAAATACTCATTGAAATCTTTGTAATTCATTTTTTATTCTCCAGACACAAATCGTATAATACCACGTAAAAGACAAACAATGTCGACCATCATTCAATATGAAGGATATAAGAAACTTTTTAATTTTTCTTTTTTTCTGTTAAAATTTTTTCAATATGTTTGCTAATTCAACATTTTGTGACTCGCAGTACTAATTGAGTGTAGTATTGTTCGATTAATAATTTAAATCTTACTTTTGACATATAGCATTTTCGATGTGCGTTGGTCACTTTAGGTCTTTAAAAAAAAGAAAAAAAGGTGAAAATAGATTCGAAATGGACAAAACAATTTTTATATAGAAGTGTATAATTAATAAAAAAAAATATGACAATTAAAGACGACTGAATGTAATTGTAATAACTCGACAATTGCAATGGCTAGCGATCTGCGGTTTTCAACAGTCGAAAGAAAAGAACTCCTGACGTCTTTTCGTCG